ATTCTTAAGTAATATAAGGGCGTTTTCACCATTTTAAACTAGGGTCAATACCAGGCAGTGCTCGATTTACAATATTTTATTATTAATATGTGCAGTCTTGGCAGAGTACTCGACCGAGTTTATATGGATGGCTCGGTCTAGGGACCCTGCAAGTCCCAAATCCGAGCCTTGTGTTTTTAACATTGATAGCAGAAAATCCTATAAGAGGCCGCAAAAGTAGTGATCCTAAACTGCAGGACCAGTCGAATTTCCTGAAATGTTAGCCTTTCAAATGAAATACCAAAACGTTTCTGTACCGATCAACCCAATTCGGGAGCCCTAAATGCTTGGCACAATTCCTCCATGCATATAGCATTGGTTCCTCTGTTTGTAGATCAGAGAATTTATACTTATTTGGACTTGTTATTCAACAGACTTCCTGGAAGATTACCGTTCAATATGAGGAGAAATTTGATGGTTCAAGACATGTTAAACAACAGACTAACAGAAAACTTACCTCCTCATCTAACAATAAATAGTTTACTATATTTGAAGCCATCTTACAACTATTGGGAGGGACCCTTGCTATCAAAGAACTTCATGTGTTAAAGAATTCTCCGATCTTCAAGCAATGAGCCTGAAGAATAACTGGTTCGAAGGTAACATACCATGTGAATTGTGTAGGCTGCAAAAGCTTGCCATTTTGGATCTTTCCCTCAATAGATTTGGTGGCTCCACACCTCCATGCCCTCATAGTATCTCAGCTTGCATAAATGGGAAAGAATATATCCATACTGATCACTACCAAGTGAGGATCAAAGCCACTACGATGAAGTGGTGATTTTTGGCAAGGTCCACGAATATATTATTCTCTGTTCTGACCGAATCGATCTATAGGAAAACCAACTCAGCAGTCACATTCCAACAGACATGGGCCCCTCAAAGGAATCATTTTATTGAACCTCTGCAATAATCACCTAGCAGGAATGGTTCTAGAATCATTCGCAGAGTTGTGCAACATCGAATAATTGGATCTCTTGAGAAACTTACTTGAAGGTGGACTCTGATTTAGCCCACCTCAATTCATTATGCCTCTTTTCTGTTGCAAATAATAATTTGGAAGGAATCATCGCATGGGAAGGCCATTTATCAACATTTGGAGAAAGCTCCATGCATCCCAGGGGAAGGATTGAAATAATCATTTTAATATAAATATTTGAGTTGCCTGTATCATTCTCTTCAACTTCACACCGGTAAAAACTTCCATTATACTAGTCAAATATGGGCAATGTGGGAAGCACTAATCTTTCGAACCCCAACAATAAGCAACGCCCAAACTTCATTGCCAATAGTAGTAAACTTTGATTGTTCTCTTATAAAAGCAACCATCCAACCTCTCTCTCTCTCTCTCTGTATGTGGATTTTGAACAGGAATCCTAGTATGTGCTAACTACTAAACATGTAACATGAAAACTTGAAAGTCATAGTACCTCCCTTCCACTAACTACTAAACATGTAACATGTGTCCCCCCCACCAGTACCAAGCACCATGTTGAACCTCCTTTGCTTCATGTATTTGAGAAGCAATTACTATGTCAAACATATCGCAGTTTCTGCTGTAATCATGGGAAAGTGTTCATAGTGGGTAACTTTCAGTTCTAAAATGATTTAAAAGAAATTTTATTAGTGTTTGAAATCAATTAAAAAGAATTTAGGGAGTTCAGTTCAAACAGCCAAACACTGGATTTTCTGTCTGATCAACATAGGAAGATTGCTTTGTTCAATCTCTCTATTTATCTGTGAGTCAGGGCAGTTACAAAGTATTCAAATACAAAATTTCCTGCCCTAAATCACTGTGAACAGTTAGAACAACCAATACACCCCAATCATTTTCACTGGGGCTATTATAGAGGTCACTGAATGTTATCCAACCACTTTCTACCGCCCATACAATGATTTTACAAGGTTGTGAGGCATCGTCTTTTCCAACCACTCAATTGTAGCTACAGAAGATAAATTCAGGTCCATAAAGACCCCGATTCAGACTGAAATTTGAAAAAATTTACATAAGAGAGGCAAAACAATGTTCCTGCAAGTTTTTACGGCACTATTTGATAAACCACGAATTTCTTTCTGATTTATCAACCGTTTTCTAAGGAAATTGTTTCTCTGCTATCCTTAATCGATATCCTACCAATTTGAACCAAAGGACAGATCAATCATGAGCTCCATAGTCCCCAGTAGGCTCTCAAGGGTGTGCAACTTTGAGAGTTATTTAATGGGCATCTCACTCAGTCCAGTTTCATCTTAGGAGCATATTCACATAAGACTCAATTGCATTACATAAAGATTTTGTGCCGAGGGCATCTAATACTTCTAGCTCCTAATTTACATGCCAGATTTGTGCCGAGGGAATCTAATACTTCTAGCCCCTAATTTACATGCCAACTTTCCATGATCTTGTTGCACATGCAAAATTTGAACCACTTTCCAGTCATCTCCACAATGACTTGAATGACAGACATTCTTTGTTGATGGCTCCATTGCATTGTGTAATTAATCCAATGGGATAAGTTCAAACAAGAAGATCTGGATGTGGAGAAATCTTGAAGCCCAAGGCCCGTAATAGTTTGACCAAGAAAATTTACTCGCAAGCTTAGCACCATCAGATCTTCTCGAGAATCATTTTCATTACTCACCACAATGCTCCAAGAATTACAATTTTGCACCTATTATCACCTTTTTCCAAGAACCAAGCCATCATCTCCAACAATTTTCAGACAATGGGAAGGGGGCACTCGATAAAGCCATGTTGTAAAACCAAATAAAACTCTAACCCCAAGTCAGAAAACTTCAGACTCATGCAAGAGCATTACAACATATGATATATAGGTGGAACCAAAGTTCAGACACACAAATACAAGAAACAGTATTGATGCAATACTAAGTATCAAAATGTATGTTACGGACAAATGAAACCACATGTATAAAACGAACACACCAATAAACCTGTGTTCGGAGATGCTGTGGTATTGAACTGCCATTGACAATCGCCTAACAAATTGCCTTACATACCAAGCACAAACATGATTCTTCAGACAGTTTACATTGACATATGTGAGAATTGAGAGAAAAGCATGTAGAATGATAGATATGAAAATTGTTGAAGAAAACGGATTGAGAATATACAAAGAGTCCTATGAAACACAAAAAATAAAAAAGCAAAAATAGATATCAAAAGAAGCATAAAGAGAAAGGGATAAGCAGTTCCACCCCATTAAGAATAAACAAAGAGCCCTATGAAACACAAAAAATAAAAAAGCAAAAATAGATATCAAAGAAGCATAAAGAATCAAGCAATAGCATAAAGAATAAAGGAATAAGCAGTGCCACCCCATTAAGTTGGTCATTGGAGATGAATTGAACCCACTATGCAGAACATATTCTTGCTGAAAAGAATACTTGCAAAGTGCTCAATAGATCTTAATATTGAGCTCCTTAATCTAAACAGTTTGTCTTTATGAGGAAACTCACAAAACTGTAATTATCACTGTTTCCGTCTCTCCACTGGTTTTACTAGGGAAGTTCGTGATGACAAATTGCTCACGTTTTGACATCTTCATCATTGAAAAGTCTCTCCCCCCACCCCAAAAAAAAACTCTCCCCCCCCCCCCTTCCCCCAATCCAAAAATAAAAATTAAAAAATTAAAAGCTTATGTAATATCAAAATTTGTAACAAATTTTCTTTCAATTTATCTCCACTGTCTCGGCCTCTGCTTGGTGATAGACATATAAGTTTGGTTTTTATTCTTTTAATGTCTTTGCTAGGAAATTTCAGAACTATTTATCCATTTTCTCTCTACATCTTACTAGGAAGAATTGCAAATACATTAAAAAAACATAAGATTCTATTACATTTTTATTGCCTGGTTGACTGATTTGCAAGTTACATATAGGAAATCTCAAAGTTACATAGCAGTAGCGAAGACTAAGAAACTTGTCCAATTGCATAAGCAACTGTGCAGAGAGAGAGAGAGAGAGAGAGAGATTTATTAGTGGAACCTTAAACTTTAAGTCTCAGTTAATTTTGAGGACTCCAAATCAGCTGCTTTCTGAAGAAGGCTATCTTTTTCAAGAGCAATTTGTATAGGTGAAGTGCCAAGGCCATCAGCAACAGCCAGCATGATGAGCTTCATCTCTGATCTGAACTCCCCCATGTCTACACTTCCACTACTATCTCGATCAAACCTGAACAAAACCCACGATTTATTTTCTCTCTCTACTTTTTCTCTCTAACTAAGTATGCCCCCCGTTGGGGAGAACTCAGAGCTAATCACTGAAGCTAGAAATCACTGCCATGCTAGAAGACCAAACATATTGGCACTTTAACTTTCTCACACTAATTTCTCTCTCTAACAATAGTATGGGACAAACAGCCTGGGTTGGGCAAAAGGCATGTAAGCACTGCTATAACCAGAAACCTAACTTGTGAAAAAGAAGGATCAAAATGCTCACTCAGCTGGTGCAGTCTGTGGCTTTCAATTTTGCAGGCATCAGATGATAGAGAAACTAGGCAAAGAAAAATTAAAGACAACGAAGTTTGAAAATAGAAGGAATCCCTCCTGATGTTCTAATTTTTTAGAGAGAGAGATTTCATTTATTATTCTTTGTTTTCTCCTAATTCTAGTCCTCCGCTTGTTTTATATCGAAAAAGAGGTATAGAGGGTTATCCTAGAGAGAGAGAGAGAGAGAGAGAGAGAGAGAGAGAGAGAGA